TGAAAAATATAATCTAAATAGGTAGTTTTGTTCAGCTTTTCAAGCTCTATCGTTTGGTATATTGCACTAAAAATTTCATTAATCTTCTGTCTTTTAAAAAAATTCAACTTTATATCAAGAATTTTTGACAATATTTCGCTAATAGCCTCGTGAGTGGTAGAAAGTAAAATTGGTCTAACTTTTTATCGGCTTGACCAAATGCGCTAAAAATTTGGATTTAGAGGTTTTAAATGATGCTGATTAAGATGAGAATGTCAAATCAAAAAACTAAATTTTGACGAGTGCTTCGATTATTTGATAGTCTCATGGACGCTCTCTTAAAGCACCGTTATTATTTCCTCCACCAGCAATTAATACTAATCCATTTGATAATACAGATGCTGTGTGATAAGCTCGTACATTATTCATGTTATTAGTAGTTGTCCAAGTACCCGTTGATGGATCATACAACTCAGCACTATTTAAATAACCATTGCCTAATCCACCAGTAACTAATATTTTTCCATTTGATAATATAGATGCTGTATGAAGACATCGTGCATCAATCATGTTGCCAGTAGCTGTCCACGTACCTGTTGATGAATCAAATACCTCAGCACTATATAGAGCAACACTATTATTGTCTAATCCACCAGTAACTAACACTAGGCCATTTGTTAATACAGATGCTGTGTGAGCACTTCGTATATCATTCATATTACCAGTAGTTGTCCAAGCACCTGTTGATGGATCATACAGCTCAGCACTATTTAAACCACTAGAGACTCCACCACCAGTAACTAATACTTTCCCATTTGATAATACAGATGCTGTGTGCCAATATCGTATATCAGCCGTGTTACCAGTAGTTGTCCAAGTGCCTGTTAATGGATCATACAGTTCAGCACTATTTAAAGCAACCCCATTATTGTCCAGTCCACCAGTAACTAACACAAGACCATTCGATAATGTAGATGCTGTGTGAATATACCGGGCATCAGTCATGCTACCAGTAGTCGTCCAAGTGCCTGTTGATGAGTCATATAATTCAGCATTATCTAGAGCACTAGAGCCGGTCCATCCACCAGTAACTAATACTTTCCCATTTAACAATACAGAGGCGGCGTGAATCCATCGTACATAAGCCATATTACCAGTAGTTGTCCAAGTACTTGTCGATGGAACAAACAGCTCAGAACTATTTAAAGCGACATTGTTACCATAGTATCCACCAGTAACTAATACTTCCCCATTTGATAACATTGATGCTTTGTGCTGATTTCGGGCATTATTCATATTGCCAGTAGAAAACCATCCTAGAAGTAACATTTTTATATATTTACACTATACAACATCGTATCACCTAATACTCAACAGTCTTTGATATATTGAATTTATATAACTTCACACTTATGTAAATTGAGAATAATAATCAAATATACTACACAAAATCTCTGCACATATCATTCTGATACCTTCAGTTTTCTATATTTTCTATTTCCTGTATTATCTCAATTAAATATATTAGAGATGTTTTTCGGTTCTCTACAAATTTTACAAGCCATGCTAGAAAGATATTTGTAAAAGAATGAGTGATTAATGTCGACGTTTCTGATCATTCATTATTCAATCATTGTTAGTTCTTTAATAATCTAGTTGAGTGTGATAAACTCTAAAATGTAAATAATGTGTATCATTACCTGTTTTACACATTTGTGTTGCTAACAATGGTAAACATATTGCTTGTGAAGAACAACATGAATTAATAACACATATTGAATCATTTGATGAACATGTTTGTGTAATATTATCACATCTTTCTAATATTGAACATAAAATACCAGGTGCACAATAACGACTGTTATTTATGGTTCGATAATCAAAACAAGGTGTTGATGATGAAAGACAACTATTATTTAAGTTTACATTACATTGTTGTAAAGAACAGTTCGATGTTGAATTCCAAACTGAATGAGATAATGAAGATAATGTAAACTGAATAGAAACATTATTTTCACTACAAGAATAATTAGGTAGTTCTGTAGTTTGTCCTATAGAATTCATTTATAGTGTGATAGAGTGAGAGAGAAAATGATAATATTACGAACCTTGTACAGGTAAAAGATATATGAGGAAAACGAAGATAATGATTAATCGCATTATTTTCTATGTGATCAATGAAAAAAATAAAGTAGACACAGTGATGAATGATTTTTTTACCGTTTTTTATTACTTCTCACTGTTTTCTTTCAGTTGAAAGAGCCTAAAGCTATTTCTCTCAACATTTGTACATGCTCTTGAAATCAAAAGTAAATTCCTTTTATGTTTGATTGATTTATTCATCCAAATGTATTCAAATGTTTATTTTGTATACATTTATTATAGAAAAAAAACCTGTTCCCTTTTTTTCTTTCATCACAACTAAAATCATAACATTTCTTCAATCGAGGTTTAAAACATCATCAGTTATATGAAGTTATTTTATTAAGAAAGGTAAAAGAAAATACTATGTGAATAGATTTATATTTACTTAATAAGTATTTATTCATTACACACATTTTTTGGAAGGCAAATAAGAGATTTAGGTATTATTTAAATATTCTTTTCAATATTTCTATATAACCTTGTTTTTTATGTGGCTGTTATTTTTTGAAAAACATTAATCTTACATAGAGTAAATATTATATTCAATAAAGGGTGGGTGGGGGTATGGGTGTAAATGAGTATTCTATTTTTTCTTTCCCATCCACATCACTCAAAAATCAAATTCTTATAAAATTTCTTACCATCTGTAACTGCCCATCCATTCGCTGTATTAATTTGCATTAATGATAGTAGAACTAAAATTCATTGAATATCAATCACCATTTTCTTTAAATATTTCTCTGTTGATTGAAGTGATCTATTTTTTATATTTGACGATATATATAGTTCTATTCAATTGTTTATTAGCCTTGTATTAAATCAATGCCAATTAAAAATATGATACATATAGAGTAAGGAGTAAAAAAATCAATTATTATATTGCTTCTGTATTTGATTTTGTATGAAAAACGGAGGAGCATAATTAAAACTGGAGACGTCAGTCCTCTATTCATGACCTTGAAATTAAATTAATCACCTATATGAAATATTTAAAAAATCCTCGAAAATCATGTTTTTTTCCGTGTAAATAGATGTGGGTGGTAAAAGTCAATTATACATATCACATTTCATTTTATTCTTCAGTATATTTTTATCTTCTTCAAAAAATAACACTCATTTAGATCATCGAGTATAAACGAGAAAAATTGTTAGTTATAAAATCATTTGCTATTTGTTTGAAAATTGTTAATTGATGATCTAATAGAGGGCGGATGTAGGTGTGAGTGGGTGCATATTGCGTCTATGGTACCCACGCCCCCACTCTACCTTTCTTCAAAAATGGATATTAGTCATCCATGATAAATATTCGATTCAGATTCGTTTTGAGTTCGACAGCTTGGAGCAAAACTCATATATGATTTTTATGAAAGGAATTGGGTAAATATGCTTCGAATAAATATCAAAACCACATAATGATTTTATTTGTCTACTTTCTTTTTCAATGAGAAACAAATATAGTAGGAAGTGACTCATGTTGTTTATGAATGTATTCTTAGACGGGAAGGACGCCCGTGGCTTCTTATTGTACGCCTTCTTTACAAATTTATTTCATCAATGATTCATATATAATTGAATAAAAAATGCTTTTTAAGAGTGTTGGGTCTTCCCCAAGATAAATCACCAAGGAAGTGAATCGTCTATAAAAACAAGCAACTGTTTTCTATCAAGCTTATTTATCGACTTAATATAATACAACGAGTTCTGATTACAGTAGCAGCTATGTAAGTTACTTTATGTAGACAAATTCATAGATGTCATAATACCATTACCCCGGGTATCGACAGTCAGACGGCAGGATATCCTAACCTGAGATCAACGAAAGTAAACTAACATTCACTCCACATATTATACCAAGGAGTAATGACTTCATTATCCCACTAAAAAATACATTCATTATACAAGTTGAGGAATATGAGTTGATTTGGTGTAACCACCTCGTTACCCCAAAATGAAGTATATGTGAAAAGCTGAGGAATATGAGTGGATTTGGTGTAACCAGCTCGTTACCCCAACAATCCACAGCGACATCAGTAGCCACAGCAACAAGTGTGGGTGCTGGGAAAGACAGGCCAGCGGGCAAAGCAACTAGTGTGGGTGCTCGAAAAGCCAGGCCTGTAGGCAACGAAACAACTGAAGGTGCTCAAAAGCAGTGCACCGGCCGCAATATCTCGGCAAAACGACTAACGAAAGGCAGATTTCAATCAATCCTATTTCCTCTACAAAATCCAAATTAATTGAACTGAAGCGCAATAGTAACTTTAGATTCCGGAACGATCAATGGCAACAATCCTTTTCACAAGTAATCTCTAACATACATGGTTATTCATGACAGTTTCGCGAAATAAGCGAATCAATCCAAGACACAATATCGTTATCCAAACGTTAATGCACCAAATCCACGCATATTCCTCAGCTTTTCACATATACTTCTTTGGAGTAACGAGCTGGTTACACCAAATCAACTCATATTCCTCAGCTTTTCACATATACTTCTTTGGGGTAACGGGGTGGTTGCACGATACCCCAGCGGGATAACTTTGTAAGCGACGTGTTTGTAGTAGAATACCCGGTGTAATGGGATTATGACATCACTCGACAAATTGAGTATCAGACGGTCTGTCATTTCTAGACACATCGTTTGTGTCGTCTCAGGTAATTTTTTTAATTTTATTTCATTTATATGAAATATAAAAGAAAGATCTTTTCGTTTGTGCTCTTTTTTTTCCAACGTTTTTCATCTAAAGGGTGTGGTGAGGGTGTGGATGCAAAGTAAAAGCACCCAGACTCTATAAATTAAAACGAAGATAAAGTAACATCCCTAGTTTTCAGATGATTAACAATGATAAAATTGATGAAAATGATTGTGAACCATCAAATGTACGACGAAAGACGAATTTTACAATACTCTGTATAACATTTATTCTTGTTTATACATCGTTTAATGCTGTCACAAATTTACAATCTAGTATTCATGAAGATACAAGTGTTGGTTATTATTCATTAGCTATTCTTTCTGGATGCACAGTTTTATCATGTTTATTCTTTACAAATCCTCTTATTTTCTTATGCGGATACAAATGGACAATTGTATTAGCTCAATTCGGTTTTCTAATCTATACGGCCGCTAATATATATCCTAAAGTATGGCTTATTTATCCAGGTAAATCTTAAGTAAATCTCATAATTAATTCTCATTGATTATTTTTTGAAAGCTTCTGTAATCTGTGGTTTATTTAAAGCTGGTTTTTGGACAGCACTTAGTGCCTACGTAAGTGATTTGAGTATTGGTAAACAGGTTGGACCTGATACAAAAGCTGTGATTAACAAATATTTTGGTATTTTCTTTGCAACATTTCAAAGCGGTGAATAATAATTAATTGATCGAAATATTGTATTGTTTTCTTGTGTATATGCAGGTCAAATCTGGGGTAATTTAATTTCATATATGGTTTTACGAAATAGCAGTAGTACAGTGGCGATGACTAATAATTCGAGTGAATTACAATGTGGTGCTCAATTTGCCGAATATAAACAAAAAGGAATGAATAGATCAATTGTCATAAACTCTTCAACAGTAAAATGATTTATTTTAATTTTGTTGAATTTATAAATATCATTATAGGCTTATATTCTGTATGGTGTTTTTATGGGATTGATTGTTCTTTCGATTATTCTGATTATTCTAATGTTGGATCAAAAACGTAAATGGAAAAGTAAGTGTTTATTATTGAAAAAATCTATTGAAAACTTCAGTTATGGTATTTTTAGGAGCTACAGTGAAAGATTTATTGGTCGATTCTCGACATTTTATCATTTCAACATTTAAACAAATGAAGTATTTGAAACAACTTCTTATTCTACCTTTAGCATTTTGGATTGGAACATTTCTTGGCTTCGTCTTCGCGATTTTTACAAGTGTAATTATATAAGAAAAGATTTTCTTTCAAACGATTGATCTACTTCTCATATTTTAGAGTTTCATCACTTGTACACTTGGATTACCTTTTGTGGGTTAGTAAAATTAAACGAATACTCTCTCAATGTATAATTGGTTTATTTTAAGGTTTAATAATGATCACTTATGGAATTACAGCTTCAATTTTCAGTGTAGTCGTTGGTTGTCTTGGAAAATACAATCTTCGTGTACCTTGTTACATTTTCGCTGCTATTTTATGTTATGCATCATATTTAGTAATGCTACTATGGAAACCAGTTCCATCACAAGCTTATGTATTATTTCTATTAGCCGGCATGCTAGGTATTGCTAGTGCTATATGGGATCCAATAGAAGCTGGTAAGTGAATGGTTTGTATAGTTTAATTAGAATAATTTTTTGTTGTAGCATTGTATGGAATCTTATTTGTGGGACAAGAAGAAGCAGCTTATTCGAATTTATGGTTAGGTCAAAATATTGGTTATTTTGTTGTTTACATCTATGGACCATCCATGCTGACACAAACGGCTATTATATTACAAATAATATATTTAACAATAGCTCTACTTGGATACTTTGCGGTGGAAATCCTGCTATATAAAAAAAAACGTCGACAGTTGCTCTTGACAGATAATCATATCAACGTCGCTTCCATTTTTTAATTTTAATTTTTTATCAGTCAGAGTCTTTTTTTTAATGCGGCAATAAATTTCAAAAAGTACCAAAGTATATAAATATGTAGTTTCAAATGCTTTTCGCATAGTATGCTCCCTATGCTAAGCCATCTTGAGGGTGTGGGTGAGAGTGTTTGTGTGAAAAATAAGATATTAACACTCACAACGTCAACCATATCCACGCTCACCCTCAAACCAAAATAGAGACAGTAATAAATAATTTTTCTTTACTCTTTTTTTTCTATCATTTCTTACTTTTCTCTTTCAATTGAAAGAACCCAAAGCTGTTTCTTGAAATCAAAAACAAATTCCTTTTAGTTTTGATTAATTTATTCATCCAAATTTATTCAAATGTTTATTTTGTATACGTTTGTTATAGAAAAAAAACCTGTTCCCTCTTTTTCTTTTATCACGACTAAAATCATAACATTTCTTCAATCGAAGTTTAAAACATCATCAGTTATATGAACTTGTTTGATTGACGAGGGTAAAAAAAAGTTCATTTGAATAGATTTGTGTTTACTTAATGATTTTTCTATAACCTTGTATTTTATGTGGCTGTTATTTTTTGAAAAACATTATTCTTACATAGAGTAAAAATTGTATTTAATAAAACTGTCAAATATGAAATTAATTTAGTTAGTATTACTAATAGTGTTTCATTCAAATCATAGAACATATCAATAACAAACGATACTATTTTGTATTTTGCCCATAAAATAATCAAATACAATGTTACAAAAAATAAATTCAGAAAATGTCTTATTGAAGAAACGATTGATCTACGCTGATTCGGGCTCTATTGTATATCAGTTTATTACTAGAACTTGACCAGCAAAATAAATAAATTCTATTTCTTATCTCAGTGTAGTCTTTGTCATCACTTTTTTGCATTCTCTTTCTTTAAGCAAGTAATTTCATCACTATGAGAAATTGATAACATATCTCAAATATTGACTCATGTAAAATGAAAGAAACAAAGCACACAATAAACTTCATTATACCAACATAAAACGACACACAACGCCATCGCAACAATTTTAATCAATCTCGAATCAAATGCCTCATACATTTCTTACATTACCGGTAGAAATTGTCTACCGAATTTTGGATCATCAGAGTGATCTGACAATGCTGTGTTCGATGCGAAATGTCTGCCAAAGATTTAACACAATCGTCGATAGCTACCGCCGATATCAGGTAAACCTTTTTTTAATCATGATTGTCTATCTTCGAATCGTTTCTCATTCTTACAGTCTATAAATTTGAAAAAATATTGCTTCAGCGAGTATTAATCTCCTAAAAAAAGTCATTTCCATCACCGAAGTAATATGAAAGAAATGAGAATATATACATAGAAGCAATCTTTTTTCTATTCTTTTCTAAATAATCCGCTGCTCTCATATTATTTTTACTTACCCATGTGTAATATTTAAAAGAGAAAGAAAGAAGAAATTGCTCTTACATGTAGAATTCCGTCAGCTGAAGTCTAGTTACTACAAATTGCATTAGTATTATTTTTAGCAGCACTAGATACGAGTTTTATAATAATATCGGGTACCGACAAGACACGGATCAGATACAATAGAAATTGATCATCGCAATGATCGACCTCAGAACGCAACAGATAACGTGAGCACGACCGGAGGATCGCAATCATCACAATAAACTCTGCGAAGACAATTGAATTTCTTAAACTCCTACAATTTTACTAATTATGTAATTTTACGACCATGTTGAAGTCGTTTTATCAGCAAATAATCCTCACGAACAGGGATGAGATAATCGTTTACAGACATGCGTCTAAATTTATCGCAGAACTCATGAATGTTCTCCTTATAGTTAAACATTTAAACCAGACCTTGTTTGTTATTCTATCAAATTCAACATCTGTCTTATACTATCTCGATCTAACTAGTTTAATTGAATATTCCTGAAAATTTAGGAACAACATGTGAATATGCCAAGTAATATCTCATCATAAATTTCGTCTGAAATGATGCGATTGACTCATTCTCTTCCATAAATTTTCTTCAATGTTCCTCTCTTGGAAGTGAAGGTTTGCCAAAAAATAATAAATTGCACTTTTCCATTATCATTCTTCTTCACAAGATTTCACTAACATCTCATAAAATAATGGGATAACTCCTCGTACCTCTTCATCTATTCCATACAGAAACTTAACATGTTACATCTCGGATGGAAGAATATCGGAGATGTTGAAGCTCAGTATCTAGCAAATGCATTACGAAATAATACGGTAATTAATATTCTCTTCCTCGTCTATCCGATATATCAATCTAGACTTTTTTTATACAGACCCTCAAGATATTAGATCTCTACAGCAATGGAATCGGAGCTGTTGGAGCACAGCATCTGGCAGATGCATTACGAAATAATACGGTAACTATTATTCATTTCCTCATCTATTTCATATATCCATCTGCACTTTTTCATACAGACACTTACTGTATTAACTCTCTGGTGCAATCATATCGGAGAAGTCGGAGCTCAGCATATAGCAAATGTATTACGAACTAATACGGTAATTATCATTCTTCTCCTCATCTATCTCATATATCCATCTGCACTTCTTCTTACAGACACTTACCACATTAAATCTCGGCAGCAATCAAATCGGAGATGTTGGGGCACAGCATCTAGCAGATGCATTACGAACTAATACGGTAATTATCATTCTCTTCCTCACCTATCCCATATATCAATCTGCACTTTTTCATACAGACACTTACCGCATTAAATCTTCGCTGCAATGGAATCGGAGTTGTCGGAGTACAACATCTTGCAGATGTATTGCGGACTAATATGGTAATCATCATTCTTTTCCTCATCTATTTCATATATCCATCTGCACTTTTTCATACAGACACTTACCGAATTAGAACTAACGAAGAATAAAATCGGAGATGTTGGAGCTCAGCATATAGCAGATGTATTACGAACTAATACGGTAACTATTATTCTCTCTCTCATCTATCTCATATATCCATCTCCACTTTTCATACAGACACTTAACACATTAATTCTCGAGTCGAATCAAATCGGGGATGTTGAAGTACAGCTTCTAGCCGATGCATTACGAAATAATACGGTAATTATCATTCTTCTCCTCATCTATTTCATATATCTATTTGTACTTTTTCACACAGACGCTTACCAAATTAAATCTCGCGTGGAATGGAATTAGAGATGTTGAAGCACAACATCTAGTAAATGCATTACAAAATAATACGGTAGCTAGCATTCCCCTTCTCATCTATTTCATATATCAACCTAAAATTCTTCATACAGACACTAACCATGTTAAATCTCGACAATACTCGAGTCAGTTGTGTAATGAAGAATGCAATCAATGGATTGATTCAACAAAGCAAAAGAGTGGCAAAATCGTAACTGCTGATATTGACGACATACCGATTATTACTAGGAAACTATTATTTGCGATGTGTGATGTAACAATATAGTTTGGAGCGGAGTCTTGTTAAGAGGTGGCGCTGTTCATATGATGCAGTTTTCATAGTGATATTTGTGATAGTTGATTAAAAATTATAGTATTCCATGAAATTGTATACAGTTGTATCTCGTTGTTTAGAATGGCATGTATTTTAGAAAAAGCGAATTGATGTACTGTTTATTAACTAATTGATTGACAGCGAGTAGAAAGTGTATCTAGAAAGAAGAAAATAGAGAAGAGAAATATTGTTCAACATATGATTTGTTAGAATAAAATCTTGAGTTATGAAATGCGATCTTGTGATGAGATTGGAATATCTTCGGATATACAAATGGATGAGAGATGAAGAGTTATTAGCTGATTGTCATAGTGATTGTCTTAATATTATTCATCACGAATAGACTAGCGTTTGTTTTGGAATCCATGGGCATGGTTGATAACTGAAAACCTGTGAGTTTCTTAATGCTTATGTTTGCTAGAAAAGTGTGGGAAACATATTTTGAATCTAACTTAATCTTGAGGGTGTGGGTGTGGCTTTTTAAGGAGGCTCTCTCAAGACTATTTTCCGTATTAACAATATATACAAACTGAAGTGTTTAATTGAATATATTTATTAGTGCTAAATGACATATAATGAAAAGCAATTGTAAAATGTGATCAGACTTATAAACTAATCAGTTGATGGTTAATCTTGAGGATGGGGGTAGATACTGATGTGATTCTTCATATCCACACCCAATCGCATTCTCATCCATGTACTCAGACTATTGTTTTCATCAAAAGATAGGATTAGTTTGATTTCCATTAATTCACGCAAAAAAAACAGTACAAGAAGCTGAAAGTATAAGCATGAATGAGTTTGAGTGAAAGGTTGATAATGAGAAAGTTTTATGAAATGTTTTAGTATCGAACAAACATTGTTATTTGCTCTATATTGTTAAGTGGTTAATCATAGGATAATGTTGTTGGTAGAGTAAGGGAATGTCAATAAGAATGTTGAGTATGATGAAGAAATAAACTTTAAGACTGTAGGAGAATACTGACGGTGTTTCCAGCTTTGTTTACGACGATAATATCGGGTTTATTGTCACTGTTCACATCTGCTATTACTACTGATGATGGAGTTGCACCAACTCGGTAAATAGTTTGAGGAAAAAAGGTGCCGTTGCCTCTGTTAAGAAGAACACTGACAGTGTTTGACCCATAGTTTGCAGTGACAATATCAGGTGTATTGTCACTGTTCACATTGGCTACCGCTACTGAATGTGGATTTTCACCAACTTTGTAAGTAAATTGAGGAGAAAAAGTGCCGTTGCCTGTGTTGAGAAGAACAGTGACAGTGTTTGGCTTATAGTTTGCAGTGATAATATCAGGTTTATTGTCGCTGTTCACATCGGCTACCGCTACTGAATGTGGACTTAAACCAACTGCGTAAGTAACTTGAGGAGAAAAAGTGCCGTTGCCTGTATTGAAAAGAACACTGACGGTGTTTGATTCCACATTTGCAGCGACAATATCGGGTTTATTATCGCTGTTTACATCGATTACTGTTACTGCCTGTGGACCTCCGCCAACTGCGTAAGTAACTTGAGAAGAAAAAGTGCCGTTGCCTGTATTGAAAAGAACACTGACGCTGTCTGAACCCTGATTTGCAGCGACAATATCGGGTTTATTATCGCTGTTTACATCGGTCACTGTTACTGCCTGTGGAGCTCCACCAACTGAGTAATTAGTTCGAGTAGAAAAAGTGCCGTTGCCTGCGTTGAGAAGAACACTAACGGTGCGTAACATCAAATTTGCAATGACAATATCAGATTTATTGTCACTGTTCACATCGGCGACTGCTACTGTAAATGGACTTCCGTCGGCTGAGTAATTAGTTGGAGAAGAAAAAGTACCGTTGCCTTTGTTAAAAAGAACACTAATGGTGCTTGAACCACTATTTGCAGTGACAATATCGAGTTGATTGTCGTTGTTGACATTGGCTACTGCTACTGCATATGGGTATAAACCAGTTGAGTAAATATTTTGATTAAGAAATGTACTATTCCAAGCTAGTAAACAAGAAAAAAAGATTTAGATTACAGTTCTTATCATTCAAAAACAGTATTTTATCGTTTTGTTCTATTTAATCTGCAACAGTCCAGCTCAGCTGAAAGCAAATCAACCAACCAATAAAATCATTCCACTATGTTTATGATTAATAGTGATCTTCTACAATCCCGCTACTTACATCTTTTTTCGAATTCTATTTATCGTCATCAACGACATTTTAATCTATTTTGACACTAGCATAGTTATTAATCTCCAACTCGGTTAATATATCTGTCTCCTCTGCATTCGCTTTTTCAAGTGATATCCTTCTTTGCACTGTCTTTTGAATATAAATACATTTTGTGACATTTTAAACATATTCTCACGAATACATGTTGCGATGAGTTAACACTTTGCAACAAACACTAAATTATGTCTTCACTAAACATAGCTATCCGAAAAGACTAAAATTTCGATAGAATCTTACTAAAAACATACGTTTATTCTACTTTAGTAATATCAAGTGAATCTAACGAAGATCTTCGAATCATATAATAGGTCGATTTATTCGAGTGCATTGGAAAATCTCTTCACTCAAACAAACAAACATAAAATACCTCAAAGTATAAAATGAGAATGAGTGATTCTTTCTTAGGGTTACATGGGAAGCTTAAACTGAACAAGAGAGATCCAGAAGAAATCCAGTTTGTCCTATTTTACTTTTCTACAGAACATAGTAGTTCCTTTGATATATTTGGTTCTTTAAGCATCTATGGAAAAGTCAAATACAACGTACAAAGGTCGGCATCTACATATAAAGTTAAAACTGAATAGATCTGGTTTTTCGTGGATCTATCATTAATTGCTGTAGCTTCGGGCTGAAATCTGTCTTAAAAGATTCTGCATTTTATTCTACACAAACCTATCTCATAAACATAAAAGTGAATGTAATTATTTTAGTAATACTACAGAAATAATATGACTAACTTTCAAGGCAATATCCAAAAAGAAATGTTGTCTGAAAATTACTTATCATCCATCGAACATATTCAGCAAATAAAATATAGAAAGTTCTAAGAGTATAGTTTCTCAATCTGAACAATAATTGATCGATTGGCAACTAAAAAAGGTACTATGATTCATGTGGAATATTACTGACCGATTGATGTTGTTGTTGTTGTTGACGACGTTGATAATAATGTTTCCTCTGTTGATGATGATGTTGCTGCTGCTGCTGTTGATGATGATGATGATGATGTAGTTGTTATTGTTGTTGTTGTTGATGTTGTTGTCGATGACGTTGTTGTTGATGATAATGATGATGGCGGCGGCGTTGATTTTGTCATTGTCGATGTTGTTGTGGATGATGATGATGATGAGAGTGTTAATGTTGTTGTTGTTGTTGATGATGCTGATGGTGATGTTGTTATTGTTGTTGTTGTTGTTGTTGACATTTCTATTCTTAGTATTGTTGTTGTTTGTGTTATAGGTTGTTTTGCTGTAGTTGATGATGTAGTTTCACTCTTCTCTCTGTTTGGCATAATCACATTATCAAAAGATGCCTGATTTATTTGATCTTCCGTTATTTTAGCACCTGTCATATCACTGTTTGAAAAGTGCGCACCTGTCAGATCAGAGTTTCCAAAATCTGTTCCCGACAGATTTACACCATTGAAACTAGTACAAAGTAAAGATGCACCATCAAATTTAACGTTATCCAATCGACCTCCATCAAATGATACACCATTTAAACTAGCAAATGAAAATGTTGTATTTGACATTGATACTTGATCAAAAGAAACACATTCTAAATCCAGTTGATTTAATACACCTGTTTCACTTGCTAGGTGTACATTATCGAAGTTTAACTTATTCAAATGGATTATATCATCTAAATTTGTCGTTTTACATCCATTAGTACAATTATTTCTACCAATTAATTGTTTTTCTTTGAGAAATTGTAAAACATCTGCTTTACGTTTTGTGTCCCATTGACGATGTGCAGCACGATAATATGCATTTGCAAATGCCCATGGATTTTTTTTCTCTTTCAGATATCCATCTTTATCTAGTTTATAAATATTATTTATAAATTCATCATAAAGTGTTTGTTGTCTTAGTTCTCTTGATTGTTCCAAATCAAACTGTCGTATATTTTCAGCTTGCTCCAAATCAAACCGTCGTATTTTTTCAGCTTGTTCCGAATCAAACTGTTGTTTTTTCTCAGCTTGTTGTTTTTGTTGTTGAGACTCAATGGCAGTATAAACAGCAAGAGCTATGGGTATAGCAGCTGAACATAGAATAGTTAATATGTCTTTAAATGTAAAATGCCAAAACACTCGTTTATTAATATCTACCATGGTCTTAATCTGATTTGAGAATGAACAGTAAAGTATTATGATATATTTGAATCTAAAGAAAACACAATTGCTACTGATAACTAATCTTTCCCTCTTTTGCCGTTTGTCTCTTATTTAACAACATATTAAGTAACAGTTTTAATTAAACTTTCAAAATTGAATATTACAAAAAAAATAAAAGAAATGAATAAGTAAGTATTCATTACAAACACAACAATAATTAGAAAAACAGTTTCTTGTTACTTTCAGTATATTGAACATTGAATTTGATCTACAATAACAAGAATATATAAATACTGATAAATGAAAATGCGTAGAGACGACGAAAGAAGAAAACTAATACTGTTGATTTAAATATCGGAGACTTTTTTGTATATCTACATACGATACAAAATCAAAGAACTTCATTAATTCTCCGAAATGATGGAAAATATATTTTAACAGTAACAATGAAATAAACTGGTCATATCCATTACAAAGTTCTACAAAAAAAACAAAAAGAAAAGAGATACTCTAGACTCCATGAACGATTTCTTTTAATTAAATGATATCTCCCATACGAACAGTTCTAAATAAGTTTTTTTCTTTTAGAGTTTTTTATATAAAAATCCTTAATATGTATACGTTAGTAGAAATAATTTTACAACTGACTCAAAATCATTTACATTTATAGTTTATTAAAACTAAGAATATAATTGTAGGAAAAATACATTTGTAATGTGTGATAATAAAATCTAAAGAAAAGACTAAATTATCGATTGGATCAATCTATCTTTTTATGTACTTATATAAAATAGACAATATGTCAACAATATTCTTAAATAAATCAACTAGACAGCAATGATTTATAGACTTCTTTCAATTAACAATTTCCTTTTGCTTAAGAGTTATGTTCTCTTCTTCTCTCAAGCAAAAATAACGATTTCAAGCAAAGAAATGGAAATGTGATCTGCTGACATAATTATATGTCATAGGCATTGCTCATTCCCATAGTTCAATTACTACAACAATTTGAAACAAATAAAATACTCATCTTATCAATATTATGCTAGATTTTGATTTTAAATAAATAATGGAAAAGATTTTTGAAACGAGAATAATCGATAGCAGATAAAATGTTCTTATTGATTCAAGTTGCTTGTAGAATCAGAAGAAAGTATCTAACGGCAAATATTATTTATCATTACATTAAGCTAAATATTTATTTCAAAATATTTTGAAATGTGATTCCGATGAAATTTTGAATACATCAGTCATTTATATTATTATCAAAAATCTGCAAGTTAAGACATTTTATTTTAGTCTTTTCAACCATTACATGTATCAAACTGAACACAGTATAAAATATTCTATAATATATTATGATTTCTTCATTATACAGTATCCATATGCTCTAATATTATCAGTATCAGGTGATATTCAATAATCTTAGAATCCAGTTTTATCATCATGAATTTTTATTAAAGTCTTTAGATTGCCTTAATTCTAAAGAACAACATAACCTTCATCAATTTTGTTTTCTGCTATAACTCTTGAGAATGTGGATGTGGTTGAAAGTCACGATGATGACTTATGATTTGCTCAAACCTTCACCCTTATCCACATCTACCCATTCTCAAGATCTTCAAAAGTCATAATTATATCCTTTCCAACCACACATATTTTATTGTTGCTCTTTCCTTTTCGTGTGCTTTAATCGAGATTGCAACCGTTACTTATACTTTAGTTTTTCGTACACAAGTTTTTTTTTCTTTATTTATTGATTGTATCGTGATCGAGCACATCGCTACTTCACTTTTTACCAACCAAAATTCTTCGTTTCATTCTTTTATTTCATGCTGGTTGTTAATAATATTGACTCATTATATAAGCACGTTGTTGTGTTGACACAATACGATAAGATATTTTCACGTTTTCTTGTCATACTTTCATATTTCAACAAACATCTACTATCGTCACATGTCAACAGCAGTAGGTAAAACTCAATGTGTTATATGTGGTAAACAAAGGAGTGCAGTTCGATGTGAAGGCTGCTTACAAATATTTTGTTATAATCATTTGAATGATCATCGTCAACAATTAAATCAAGAATTAGATGAAATTGAAGTGAATCGGGATCTAGTTCGAGAAGCACTCACTCAACAAACACTTGATTCAGAACAGAGTTTAGCAGTAAAACAAATCGACGAATGGGAACAAACTTCCATGAAAAAAATTCAAGAAGCTGCACAAGCTTATAGAACACAATTACTTCAATATTCAACGGAACGTATTACTGCACTAGAAGTTAAGCTAACCAAACTAACAGATGCATTAAAACAAATCCGTCAAGAAGATGATGTTAATGAAATAGATTTAAATCAATTTAAAGAACAGTTAACAAATTTGAGAGAAGAACTTGACAAACCATTGTCTATCTCAATTGAACAAGAGTCAGCAACACTTGTAGACAAAATTTCAGTCACTATTTCTTCTGGTGAGTATACAAATAGACCTTTATTTGATACGAAAAGTATATTGAGGGTGTGGATGCGAATATGGTTTATACTTTACTCACCCAAACCCACATCCTCAAACTACAAAAATAAGTCGAGTGAAGTTGTTTATGAGAAAACTAAGACTTTTTGAATCGTAATGAACAATTTTCGTTATTCATGTATTCAATAGGTGACGACTCGTTAGAACAAGTACCTAAAAAACAAGATGCAAAAAATGAGTTGGTAATAGATAATTATTTCGAAAAAAAATTTAACAATCATGTATATATTTCTCTAGTTCCAGAATGAAATAGAATCTCTTGAACAAGATACAAATAAACAAGCTTATACAGTTTTAGAAACATTGTTAACTGAAGCGGAAAATCGTTGTCTTCACTATCAAAATAAGGAAATTGAAATTACACAACAATTAACTGTTTATAAAAGCTTTGTTGTAAGTTTATTTCGTATTTTTGTATGCAATTTCGATAAGATTTCGTTATTAAATTACAGTGGCTTTTGTTGTCACAAAAAAACAATTAATATGAATCTTAGTAGTATTTGCAAAATTTGTTTCTGAATTACGCCGGAGTGTAGCCGTTCTCGGCCACTATACTCCGAATGCTAATGCATTCAGATTTAGTCTTCATTTTACAAATGAAATTCATCTACAGATTAAAATCAAAGTCGCTGAAAAACGTAAGCATCGAGCCCAGTAGAAAGCTTTCTGCCCAAACCGAAACCAAGAAAGAGTGCATTGTCTTTTTCCTGATAACGGTATCGCTTTGTGTTAATGTTTAGAATGAACTACAACATGAAATTCAAGATTTAACAGAACGATTAGCAGCTGGCGCCGAGGAATATAAAGTTCTATATCGTAAATATACTACACTTGAATGTGGGATAAACAAGAATGATGAAGCCGAAGTTGGAAAACCAGAAACAACATCACTTACTGATGATACTGTTGAAGTCGATGCATGCCCGATGTGTTATTGGGAGTTTCCTGAAAATATGACTCTGGATGCAAAGAAATTACATATCGATCATCACTTTGCATAAACTGAATAAAATCATCAACCAAGTATATTCAGTGAATACTAAGTTATTTTTACGAACTCTATGTCCGAACGCCAAAACTACAGATTGTAATTTCTTTATTCTTTTCGAATAAATGGTGATTTTTTTTCCTCAATAAAATATATTTCTCTTTTTAGAAGCATCTCCTATAGGTTATCAAATACTGTATTTTGGACTCATTCAGTCGAGAATTTGACGCTGTTCATATCTGCTGATTTTTTAGTTCGGAAAAAATTTAAAAAGAGACTCACAGATATTTATCTACTTAACTCCAATCATCGAGTCATGTAAGTCTTTCTCATTGTACTGAGTAGATAGAGCATTTTCTATTCGATGTTCCTAAAGTCAATGGTGCTCTTTAAATAGTTCGTAATTACATCATCGAATATATGAACTAATTTCGAACAAATAACAATGTAAAATTCTCTTATATTATGTTTAGTGATAAGTTGTAAAGTTTTCGATTATACAATATCAGCTGAAGCAAAAGAAAAAAGATTAAAGCTGGTATTTTGTATTTATCAATATTCATCTTCTTTTTAAGTTGTAATATTGTATATTAATGTTTGCTACGTGCCACCGTTAAAAGTTCGATTGAATTGAACGTATCTGTAAAACAAAATGATTTGCATTGTGTTAAATTTCCACTGTATAGATTTCCCACACAATCAAACCCAGCTGCATTAACAACAAAAAAAATTTCTGTATACTAAAAATTTGACCAATAGCTTGCAAAGTTCGAGTATTGTGCTTCGCCACAGCTTATACATTCACTAAAATTCTTTGCATTAACAACCTAAAAATATAAATATATAACTATTTTGTAAAGATTTTTCTAGATGACATGTATAGAAATCATTCTTGAGTTTAGGAGAAATAATATAGATGAATATAGGTTGAGATTGAAGAAGATGAACTTTACATTTTTTTGATCAGCTCTAGTGGGATTTGCTGTATTTTTAACACATTCAACCCAATGGACTCTACTATTTTTTTTTATTTTGTTGACATAATCAAGACAAAAATATTGTTCGCAGTCAGAAGGGTTTCTATAATACATGATCACTCCGATATACAAGATTAATTTGAATTATAAGAGAGGACATACACCTCCTAATAATATAAGTATTTCATTTATATAGTAAATGAAACTTTATCCATTCTT